GACAATCATCTTAGTGCTACTGCCCTCTGCTGCTTGGAAATGAGGGATAGCGATAGCGGGGTGCATTGCATTTGGTCTTGACTGCAGCCTTCCAATTTCAAAAAAAAAAAAAAAATAGTATTTTAAAATCTTTTTAATTAGATCCATTATGTGAGAATTGGGAGCTGTGAAATACAGTTCTTCCCTCTGTTTCAGATAATATATTATTGAAGTTGCTAATATTGATAGAAACTGCAGTATCGATTTCCAAAGGCTTAGGAAAGGCAATTAAAATGCATATTCAGAAAACATATTAAAGTTTCCTTCCCAGCAAAATGCCATCTGCAGCACACATAGAAGAAGTGAGCAGACACTGGCTTGGTCCATCCGTACATTTGTTTGTATCACTGAATACCTTGCTGGAATTATGAACTGAATTGGATGCTAAAAAACTGCCCTGCTCTCCTTGCAAAGTCTGAATATCTCAGTAATTACCAGTGAGGTAAACAGACACAAACGAGACCTCAGAAGAGCTGCTTTAAAACAGTCCCATACGTTACTAAGCAATTTCTTCCACAAACAAGCTATTCTCATCTGAGTTTCATCTGCTCACAAGTGAGACTCCCCAGGTATTATGTGGAATTACTAGGATTAGCAAGGTTTATTCTCCACATTTGGAACACTTCTCTCCCTTTTCTATTCCTGTAAGGCTTAACAGCTTGCCCTGCAATTCAGGCTGCAGCAGAGAACAGCAATAGGACAGATGTTTCAAACACAGGTGATGAGGTCATATCTCCTTTGAGCTTGTTATGGGGAGTGCTGTGTGTATTGAAACCAGACCTGAACGAGGCAGCAGACCCATCCTCCTCCTGAGGACATGAAACATCAGCTCTCACTGATCCGTTCCTCACACACGTGTCTGTTCCAACACTGCAGGCCCAGCAGCAAGCTGCTACTCTGCAGCATCCACTCCATTTGCTCCAGCGTGATGGCAGCTTTGCAAGAATCACAGAATCACAGAATGGTCTGGGTTGCAAAGGAGCACAATAATCACTGCAAACCCCCTGCTATGTGCAGGGTCACCAACCAGCAGCCCAGGCTGCCCAGAGCCACATCCAGCCTGGCCTTGAATGCCTGCAGGGCTGGGGCATCCACAGCCTCCTTGGGCAACCTGTGCCAGTGCCTCACCACCCTCTGCATAAAAAACTTCCTCCTATATCCAACCTAAACCTCCCATCTCACTTTAAAACCATTCCCCCTTGTCCTGTCAGGAACAACTCTAAATGTTTATTGCATATGCATAGTAGGAAGGGTGGCATTACAAAAGCAATTTACAGTTGCTGACTTTTTGCTGCTAACCACACTCTGTTCTGGAATGCACTAACTACTCCAGCTTACCTACAGATACTCTTACTTCAGATTAAGTGAACTAATGCTGCTATTCCTATTAATTATTTGTTCATTGAGCAGAACAAATTGTCAGCTCTCCAGCAATATATACACGATCCTATTTTAGATTCTGAAGTGTATTAAATTTTTAATTTAAAAACTAGGGCTATTAGTTAAAGATCGTTTGCCTGGTGTCACTTTAATTAATTTCTACATTGGAGAAAGGCTGGCTGTGAGGATGCACTGAATGCAATGCCTAAAACACGACGTTGAGGAATGTCAAACTGCTCACGTTGTCATCTTCTGCCTCTCTGCAATCCAAAGCTTGCAAGCAGCCTGGCACCACGGCAGCACGTCGTGTGCAGGGCACACATTGAACACCTTCTGATGTGCAAAAAGCTACGGCTCAACCAAGGAATGGAATGATGGAGATGGGGAGAAAGGAAGTCAGGTAATCAGAGGAAAGAGACAGATTAGAAACTTCCTAGTAATTCACAAGTACCAAATGCCCAGAAACTCCCGCTGCTCCGAGGCTTCAAGCGTTAGTTAATATGAAGTCTAATTATTTTTGCAGTTTGGTATTTTTATTAAACATGCATTGAAATATGAAACCTTCAGCTAATAGAACACATGTGTAGGTAGAGAGAGTTCTTTTTGGAATGATTTCATTAGTTCCATGAACAACGATGCCAGAAAAACAAGATCTAAATTCAGTGCAACTACCAGGACAGACAATTCAGAAGTGGGTGGAAAAATAAAGAAAGAAAAAGAAAGAAATCAACAACTGCAGCATTCTACAGAGAAGCTGCTGTTTACTGCCAGCATCATGAGCCTTAAAACATATCCGTCACCTTGGAAGCTTTACTGATAAAATTTCATGGTAGATTTATGCCATTTTCCCCCGTCGTTCAGATGAATGATCCCATGCTTCGCCCTGAATGAGAAGCAGAATGCTTACTAGGAGCTGGGGCTGCACATCAGGAGGCAGGACCAAACCTCATCTCGACAGAGAGGATATTTGGAGCCTGCTAATATGCTGTGGTTTAAGATAAAATGATTTACTAAGATAGAGAAAAGGATAATGACAATGATATAAATCCATATGAACACATACAAATGATGCACAAGCAATTCTCACCACCCCCAAGTGATGCCAGAACTTCCCTTTGGCCAGTTCAAGTCAGTCCTCATTGTGTTCCCTCCCTGCTCCCTGGGCCCTTTGCTGACAACAGCCTTGGCTCTGCACAGCACTGCTCAGCAGCAGCTACAAACACCAGCATGTTACCAATGCTGCTTTTCTCCTAGAACCAAAACACAGCATCACACCTGAAGGAAACAATTCCATCCCAGCTGAAACTAAGATGTAAGGTTACAATAACACGTGGGAAACAGGAGAACAAGAAGAATTTCCAAAGGGAAAGTAAGCAGTCAAGCTGAGACCTAGTAAGTAAGCTATTAGTAAATACCTATGTGTCAGCTGGGCACATCGATATGTGAATGAAGACATCCAAGTGATGCATTATTCACTTCCCTTACTATCCAACTGCTCAGAGTCCCCTGGCAGGCAATGTTCAAGTTCTTAACCAGGATGAAAAAGGCACTCTCCTAAATAGCAATGCACAGGTGGGAAAACCACAGAAGTCCTTTTGATCGCAGGTCATGCACAGCCAATGCGAGCTACTGGATTGTTTTGACTTACATTACTGCTGAGCCGTATCGTATGACAGGTTTTTGTGCTCTTACCCCACTGCCAGTGCCAAGGAAAATGCATTAGTTTCAACTTCCATTCTTAAACCACAAACAGAGTCGAGTTTAACTCATTTTCCTTCGCAGTTTTTATGAGCTAATAGCTCCAGAACTGGTCACTTACCGCAGCTCAGCTGATGAGCAGGAGCCAGCTCAGCTGCTGCAGGAATCATGTGAGTGCTGCTCATCCACCCCGGGGCAAAAGCAGCCCACATGGCCTCAGCTGCTGCCGAAGGTTTTGATGTTGAGTGAAGAAAGGAGATAAAATGCCCTAAACAGTTGCTTGCTGCTTGTTTTTGCTCTGCTGGAACACAGCTAAGCAATGAGTGCTTTTGGGGGACCTGGGTGCTAGATTTGTTTCATACATACACAGCCACTCAGAACCAAACTATCCCCATGAATATCTACACTGCTTGATAGCCCAGGTGTCTTTACACAGACAACCTACTAACACACTGTATATACACACACACATAAGCACACAGCAAGTGCTTTCAGAACGCCATTTTCCAGCACTGTGTGTCCCAATACAACTGGCCAGATGAGCATTTGTGCTTTGGAAGTCTTTTTGCTCCATAAGCATCTTAGCACGAGGCAGAGCTGAGTGCTACTGCTGTATGGAAGGACATGCCTGCCCCTGCCTGGCATGGAGGACAGGGTCAGGAAGATGTTCAGCATTCAAGCACATCCCTTCATATAGCATGAATTTGCAAAGACAATTTAGACTACATTCTTTGGCTCTACTTAAGATGCCATTTGTGGCACACTGAGAATGCACTGCAGGGGAACAATAACGGTACTCAGCTGTGATTGACAAAATTCAAGTTAATTCATTCAGGCTGCTATCAAAGAGACATCAAACCACCTAGCATTAACCTTTTCAGAAGGTGCAATTTTGATATCAATACGTCGCCAGGAAGGAAAAGAGATTGCTATGTTCTAAAACAAAAGTTATAGCATGTACCCAAAATATCACCTTGCCCAGTCTTGCTTCTCAAAAAGTATTTTTGATTAAAGTCCCAGTAACAAATATTTAAAGCTTTGGGCTTTTTTAATCTCTATGTTTCATATTGCTTCTTTACTGCATACAGTCAAAAGCCCCAAGTGCTCGTGGCCTGTGGGTTTGTGAGCACTGCAGCCCAGGGCAGAGCTGAAACTCCAACCAAATATCTCAGCTTATTAATATTGAACACGAACAGCAAAGACTCACAACAGTTTTTTGTTTTGTAAAATCAAGTAGTCCACCTAGAAAGCTCCATACAGGAATATCGTTGTGAACACAGTAATAGAATTCAGCATTGAGCAGAGTGTGCCTGAGATCATACGTTAACAACACTGCCAACTAACGTGGACATTCTGCTCATTTAAACACTTACTGACTCATCACTCATAGCAAAAACTCTTTCCTTACCTCATGTATGCACACGCACCCAATAAAACCATCTTATCAGAAAGAACAAAAGCAGATGTGAAAGATCTGTTTCTCCCAAAACAGCCATATAATGAAAAAATAGCTGCCTAAAACTCAGCAATAAACGTTCGTCAGTTTGCACAGCCTGCAGCCCACATCTGGCCCCAGTGACAGTTGATAACATGGAAAAGAACATACTGTACACCAAATAATCAATCCAGTTAGTAAACATTGGAGTGAAGAGGCCAAAGAAAGTAGAAAACACAGGGATAAAGCCTATGGCAGGAAGAATGGTATAAGTTCGATCACATGCTTCAAGCCCACAGACAAAACACTTGAATTTATGTTTTCACACTGCTGCTTGCTTAAAGCCCAGAACAGGTTTTGCTCTGTAAAACACTCATAATGTGAAATCATTCCAATGCAATACCAATCATAAAGCAGGAAGGTGCTCAGAGCTCAGCTCTGTTCCTACCTGCCCGTCCTGCCCAACGTGCACTTGATGTATCTGCAGGTTCCCCTGTAAGACAAAAAGCATTGACAATTAACAAGCTGTGAATCCAGAAAACTGCTCACTCATGAAGAAAGCCCGTTTCTCATCTCATTATCAAACCACTTCAATATTAAGGATATCTACTAATTGAGGAAACATTTCTGAGGGCTATCTTGGCAATTCAGATATGCTTCAATGCTCAGTGCTTTAACCACAGAGGATCAACAGACTTCTGTTATAAAAAAAAGCAAGGAGGGCTTTCAGCACCAGCAAGTTTTCCTAGGATTGTTCTTTTTCCATATACACATGTAAGTGCCAATGTAAGTCAAAGCCTTACTGAACTAGAATCAGTTGTGCAAGACTTATCAGCACAGGATGCTGCCAGAAAGTCAGTCTGTGCTAACAGGTTTTTGTTTCACCAATATTTCATGCTGAAGGCCAGCACGGTTCTGTTACAGGAACTGCAGCCATTGCAACAAACCAAATAACATCAAGTGCTTAGAAGGGATCTGCAGCCACAAAGTCTAAAAGTGAAAGAAGAATGGTAACAAAGGGAAGCTTTCACCCATATGCTCAGGGATGCCCTGTTAAATGCACAAGGACAAAGCAAAAACCCGCTGCCCTAACACAAAGAAGGACATTGCTTTCAGGAAAACAAATTAGTTCTTTGATTTGCATATTTTCTACATTTTCTCTTACTGGCAACACTTCCTCTTCTTTTTTTTTTTTTGTTTTTTTTGAAGCTGCATACGTTGCAATAAACTTAAAACCAGATGTCTGCATCTGTCACAGAGCAACATAACCCTTCACTCTCTCACACCCAACAGCTCCCAACCCATGGATGCAGGCATTTAAACCCCAGCATCGATTATAACTGGACACAATGAATGGCTTTTTACTTTTCCAGCAGCTTTTACACCAATGGTGCACACTCCAAACTGTCCCAAACTCACTGCAGCACATTCTGATCCTTCCTTGCTGCTCCCTCGGTCTGAAGAGCTTTATCAGGAACACTGCTTTTAACTGTAATATTTACATAGTATTTATCATAATATTTACCTTTCAATACCTCCCTGTGTCAATATTCCTCTATACCAACACTGGTTTAAAGAATTTTTATTTGGACGCTTTGGAAATGGATTCAACTAACCCACAAAAAGATATGGCTATGAGGAAATCATATACAGTAAATACTGCAGTCAGTATTTACTCTTAACTTTATTTTGCTATTGCTCCCTCACGTAAACAAAGTCTGAGAGCAGAAGAAATAAGACAGCAGCCCCTGCAGTTAGGAGTTTCTATACATGCTGAAATAACCAACAGTTTCCCCACTCAGTTGCACGGAGCAGCTGCAGTGGTCCTTTTGCCTGAGTGGAAAACAGAGCTCAAACTGGAGGGTTCAGTACTGGATTTCTCCGTTTCCCTTCTATCGTTCCATTTTTACGGAAAAAATTATGAAGTGCAAATAGCGCAGCGCCAGATTGCTCGATGCGTGAGGAAGGTAAATTCACTTCAGTCTGGAATGCATCTTCACGAGATGAAGTCTGACTACTCTCCAAACTCCTGTTGAAGAGTTTACACAATTAAAGACACAGCATTCCCAACACAGCCAGTTTGCACACCTACACAATGCTGCCTCTCCTCAACGAGGATGCAAGCACCCAGCCTAGGTTCCCTATAATGCTCCGAGTACCCAGCTCCATCTCCAACAAAGACCATTTAGCACAGTCATGGACATCTCACACAGGCTCCCACATCAGGGCCCCACGTTGTACCCACGTGTACCCAAAGCTTTGGCTCACCTCGCTGTCCTGCGTGATTTGGACCTGCTCGCCTTGAGGAACCTGGGCTATGTGGAGATGGCCCTGCGGGATCCACAACAAAAGAAAACACCAGGAAGCATCAGAAGGAAACCAAAACTAGAGCAAGAAACTACTTGTTTGGATGGAATGCAGTTAAAACATTCACAGTTGTAGGTGGAAGAAAAAGACTTCTCCAATGGAAAACGTTTAAGATTGCTTTAACTTAAGTGTACCCATATTTTGCCATCTTTCAGTCATTCCTTTTCACATCAGAGGAAAAGAAAATGGGCATAATAATAATAATAATAATAATAATAATAAAAAGCACATTCATATAGTACATTTCTCTACAAAGGAAGAACCTGCAATTGTGACTGATACATGGGACTAACAGGAGTTGGTAGAGAGGCATTAGCTCTCCCAAACGGATGAGTTCAAAATAAGAAACCCATTTAAAGGCCTTGGAAACTCAGTTCTTCAAAGAGCTACGACAAAACTACTCACAGATTGTCTCTAAAAGGTTATTTTAAAATCACATGCATTTTGTCATTAGCCAAGTTACGGCGAGGCACGCTGCCACGCTAATAGCAACCTCTCAAGCTGCTATAAACTGGCATAAGGTTAGCAATTCCAATGCAGCTACACTGGCTTGTATTAGCTGAGAATCTGCCCTAGGGGCTTTAATAAGGTTAATGCTCAGCGTGGCTGGCCACACCACCCCTGCAGAATGGCATCATGCCTATCATTTGATTGAAACGTGGTTAAGAGGCTGGAAGGAATTCCTTGTGCATCCTCACCAGCCCAGAGAGGTCTTTGCCCCTGTGATTTACCTGGAGGGAGATTGGATTCTAAATAACCTACTTGGGAGTTTATAAGGCTTTGTGTTCATTTTAATATGCCTGCATGAGACAGAGATTAAAGATAATCATTTGGAATTCTGTCAAAGGCTCTTCTTATTTTATAACACAAGAACAATTGCATGTGATTTTCAAAGAAACACAGATCCCTCTATTTCAAACAGTTTCATTTCCTTTGGAAGGAAAGCATCTATTTATAGGGAGAAAAAACATACTGAAAGTATCACTCTGACAATAGAGACTGTATATAAAATTAGAGCACAGCCCAGTCCACGTCGAGATTAGAATCAGTTTCCCTCCTTAACACTGAGCTCTCAGGGCTCCCAGGGAAAAGCAAGGAACATTTAAAAGATCCATTTACAGCATTTTCAAACAAGCAATCCTTTCTGCCTAGGGACGGGGGGAGGAAGGGGGAAGAAGGTGACTTTATTTGCCTTTGTATCTCATAGCATTCCAAAACAAAACTGCTCGCTCATCTTCTGCAGATACAGAGCTGGCCTTCAAGGACAGCCTCTGTAGTTTGTTTGTGAATTCCACCAAAACCTTTCTGAATCTTAACTCTTAAAGCTTACAGACATTCAGGAAATCCCCAGCATTCAGTTCAACACTGATTTGCTTTACATCCACACGGTATAAATGACTACTGTGATAGTAATGACTCTCAGCCTCACGTGCTTCATTCCTTAGAATTAAAAAAGCAACACCATCTTCATCTGCTTCATATCCCTCCCTACATGCCAGGCAAATTATGACCATGTTTCAATTGTGGGTATTAGCTGATTTTTCTCCCAGATTGCACAACAATTACTTAAAAGATGATTGGCAGACCCAGATAGTTTTTTTAATGAGGTAAACTTTCATCACTCAGATCCACAAACATAACTATTTTGTCCATTGCATCCCTGTATTTCACGTCATTCTCCTACTTTGTCTTTCGAGACTTTAAAGAACTCTTTAACAATCAACTGACACAAAAAGCAACCAAGGTGTGTTCCTTAAAGTATACAGGGAAAAACCAAGAGACAAAGAACCTTACCATGTTATCTTGTGAGCTTATGACCAAAGTGAGATGAAAGTTCCTCTGTCTGCCACCTCTCTCACTTGAGTATTGACAGAAGTATTGGCCAAAGGCACCTCATTATCCTACCCAAACTCTTCTCTGCAGTGGCACTGACCAAAACCCTTGCAACAGGCAGACCAGTGGGTATTATGGGCTGCCATGCTGCTCAGTAGCTCTTAAGATTCCTGCAGCCTGGTTTCTATGGACAGAGGGTTTACATCATCGCACAGGTCTGTACACATCTCTGCCATTCAGTCCTGCTCTGTGCTTGTATGCTGCCCACAGGCCCACACTCAAGGCTTCTGGGTACCTTAAAATCATGAACACAGCCATTAAAAAAGCCTTAGAAAAAGGTTTACGCCTTATATGAGAGTGCATAAAAGCTGCAAAAGCCAAAGTTTCTGAAAGCTAATGGCAGGTGGACTGTATGCATTGCATCCTCAGGTTTCTACAGAGGAGTGGACGTGGAGATGTAATTTACTACTTCTGAATGTTGCATATCAGAAACCACATGTGTGAGAAACACTGCACCATCCATCTTTTCATTGTTTTCTTCCTTTCTTACATATAATTTAAAGAAAAAAATGATTGTTGCAGTTAAACCGTGGCACACAGGAGCTGAACTAAGGTATGTTTGGTCAGAATACACAAATCTTGTCTTAAAAAAAAAAAAAAATCGTTGTCTGAGCTTTGATAGCTGTCTTGCGGTCAAAAAATGTCAATATTTATAACTTCTGCTTATATACATGTATCTAAATGAATACACATGTAACCGTTCGGCCAACAGATGTTCAAAAATGCCTGAGAATGCAGTCATACTTGAAAATAAATGAAGCTATGATTCTGTGAATCACATAAATGCATTTTTGTTTCGAAAGTCATAGTTAGAACTGTTACTTTAGGGTGAATGGTACAGGCTGTAAGACTGCTGTTAGTATTATGGGAACAAATGCAAGCAAAGGGCCAGGCAGAGACTTGACTTCTCAATTCTAGATAGAATCACAGAATGGCCTGGGTTGCAAAGGACCACAACGCTCATCCAGCTCCAACCCCCTGCTGTGTGCAGGTCGCCAACCAGCAGCCCAGGCTGCCCAGAGCCACATCCAGCCTGGCCTTGAATGCCTGCAGGGATGGGGCATCCACAGCCTCCTTGGGCAACCTGTGCCAGTGCCTCACCACCCTCTGGCTGAAAACCTTCCTCCTCATATCCAACCTAAACCTCCCCTGTCTCAGTTTAAAACCATTCCCCTTGTCCCATCACCATCCACCCTCACAAACAGCCGTTCCCCCTCCTGTTTAAACGCTCCCTTCAAGTACAGGAAGGCCGCAATCAGGTCTCCCCAGAACCTTCTCTTTTCCAAGCTAAATAAGCCCAGTTCCCTCAACCTTTCTTCATAGGAGATACAGAAATGAATGCATATTTATCTGCAATGATTTTGCGAGCAAGTCCTGCATGGATTGGATATTCTTGCCAATAACTCTTTACATAAGCCTTCAATGTTTATTTTCTGAAAGTCACGCTCACTAAATGACAATGAGTTATTAGGAACAATAAGAAAAATTAAATTTCAGTTGAAGCAAAGTTTATATTAACGTGGATTGTCTAAACAGAGCAAGTTAGAAAAGGCTGAATACATACTACTTGGACTTGTCCATCTTCTCCTATTTGGTGGATCTGAACCTGCTGGGCGTTGGCCAGTGCGTAGTGCAGTGCCTGTGGTTGGTTCTGCTGGATCTCATTTGAAGCTGACACTGAGCTCTGAGGACCCTCTGAAAGAGACACAAATCTACCTTTGTTACATCTGTGTATCTCACGCCAGCAGCCGTGCAACAAAGCATTCTTAAAAACAGAGGAATACAAGGAAGCAGACGCAGATCATTTCCATGTTAATGTTTTTACGCACATCGTTGCTCGTTTGCTACAAATTTCAATGGAGCCCCAAACGCTGTTTTGCCTCTGTGAAAGCACACATTTAAAAAGCATCTTTTGAATCTAGATTGAGAGATCTGCAAAGGTCAAATGACAGGCAAAGCACACAGACTTGCTATGCAGCTGAACACTACAGGACCTGGTTGGTTCCTTCTGCTCGCTGTGACAGCCACCAGGAAACTCAGCAGTAGATTTTACCTGACTAACCTGCATTACAAGCTGACAGACATTCATTTTCTTGGTTTTCCACCTTCATGGAAAAGATCCTCAAACATAAGAGGCAAGTAAACAAACTAGAATTAGATCGTAATACACAACCACTCAAATACCATCATTCCTTGAAACCTGAAGTTTTTATGCATGTGGTGGTCAATAATAACACAATAATGTCAATAATTCCATACCAGAAGGGTGTAACGGAATACAAGGGAGCAGAGGCAATCTGAGAGAAGACATCACTACAGGGAAATGGCACCAGACAGTGCATCCCCATTGGGAAGAGCCCTGAAAGGTCCCCATGTTGCAGAGATGAGCAAGATTCTGCACGAGTCCCAGCTTCTTTTCCTTTCTCCCTACATCTGAGACGACTATGAGAACAGCACTGTCATAACAGGCTCTTAAAATAATGTATTTGAAGACAGGCTTTTCTATATACAGTGCTTCTACAATCAGTTTAATGGTTTTCTTTTGCTATGCTACAAAAATATTATCAGACAAAATCTTTGAAGCAGCAAGTTTGTTTTACAACATCTTTTCCAGAGTATTTATTGCTCTCATAACGACTTTTACGCTACATGGGAACATAAAACACATTAACATTTAACACACAGTAGCATTCATGCTATAAGGCTTTCAAACCCTTCAAGTGGAGGAAGCTGTAATAAAAATATTTAAGAAGTGCTGTCACTCTACTTCTGCTGTAGATAATTTTCTTACAAGATGTTATGAATTGTTTAAATAAAGGCTGGCAGGGCCTCATCCTGCTCAGAGATGGCTGATGCAGTGTGTTTTTAAGCACAACCAATGTAACAGGAAGCTGGTTTCCTTAAGTTTTTCATACTTCTCCTTAATAGCCCAAGATTAGCCTGAGAACAGAATGCTGCTTTCACAAGACTGAGCTTTATTCAATCATACAAAAATTTTAATGGAAATGTCCTTCAATAAAATCATCCATTTGGTGTCCTTCTTTCATCGTGCCTGCAAATGTTTGTGGAAGAAGACAATTTTGAGCCTAAGTCAGAACATGGGGATTGGAAACGAATTCAATGCCACCAAGCTTGTATTTACTTCTTTGCTGAAAAGTTCAGTTGTTTAATAACCAAGCAGCTGTAATTATGTCAACAATCCCCAAATGTGTAACTACAACCAGAACACTAATGGAATAGCTCAGCAAACACAAGTACATGGCTTTGGTACCCATTGGATACCTTGCATTTGATTAGCAGGTAACACCCCAAAATGCATCGCTTCTTAAATGCAGCCCTGTGCAATTCCAGAACCTCCCACAGTGCTGTACAGCACTCAGGACCAGGTTAACCAATTCTGTTTGTGATATGAGAAACATCAATGGCAGCCAAATAGAAGCACCACAGCCTGGTGCCATGTTATGACACCTGCTCATGCTTTCCATGGTCAGTGGCTTCATCGTCCACTTCAAGTGCTGATTCTGTCCTCCCACTGCCCTGCTGCAGAGCTCAACAGCTGAGTTACAGCCCAACATCGACACAGATGTCCAAATACATGAGCCTTCATTTAGATAAGCATCCATGTACCTATGTATCTTCATATCTACACACTGTACACACACACACACACACACACACAAGTGTCAAGTACCAATATATTATATGGAAAAACTCATTTTCAACTTTATAAACCATCTTTTGCTCACAGATGCCAGAAGTTAAGCTGTTCAGAAGGGAACAGAAGATAAGGACTGAATGCCATCCTGCTGCATATGTCTTCCACGGCCTATGAATAGTTTTCATGTTGACTTCACTGCAACAACCACAGTTGGCTCGATTTTATTTGTTTTGTGATTTTTTTCCCCCTTTTTTCCTCTTTGAGAATAAAGAAGAGGATTGAAATGTGTCTAATAACAAAACAGCCTTTATAATCACCACTTCTCTCCAAATATCTGACCAGACAAAAGCAATATTTATCCATTTTAAACATCCCCCATTAAAAACAAACACAAACATGAATAGCACACAGCTTGAATAGAGGATGTGTCAACAGTTATAAATCACCATCATGTAAACTATCTGGCTTTGCATGTACAACTTTGATATGTTAGAGAATCCCTGGCACAGAGAAGCCATACAGCTGAACTCGTGCTGTGCAACGCTTGGACATCAGCTGAGCAGCACACAGCACTGCTACTGAGCACGTTCCTATGGCAATCCCAAATCACCCTCATGGAGATGAGCTTGGAGCCACCCAGACAACAGCACTGCTGCCCTGACCATTCCACAGCTGCTTATGCTGTGATACAGGAGGAAAAAAAAAAAAAATTGAAGTACTCCTTCTTCCCTTCAGCATTTGTTTCTTCCTATTCTCCCTGGACTTTGTATTTATCAGTTGAGCATGCGTTCTCATTTTGGAAGGAAATGGAGGAGGTTTGGATTCTGCAGCTGATGGGATTTCAGCTAAGTCCCCTCACTTGTATGCTGCCATTCCAAAGTGCTTTGCTTCCCTGTAGGCTCCACATTTCTGCTTACAGCCTAGGATGTGTTTTCTCATCTCCTTGATATGTAGTTCTAGCAAGGAGAGGTTAATGGGCAGATGAAGAAAAGCCCTCTTTAAAAACAAGAAAGGGGGGGGCAAAAATACACCATTACCCAGGACTACAACTCTAACTTGTAAACCATTATCTCAACCTGACTCACCCAGTGCTCAACAGCTTCAGTTTTGCAGAACTGCTTTGAAGATTTGGCCACGCCATCTGTTTTCACATGTGACAACTTGGCACAGCTGAGCACTTCAGCCCAAATCTACATGTAAATCCCAAAGCCATGGCCTAACTAATAATTCCAATATGGAAAACTGTGATAACAGCTTTAACAATCTTAAGAGAAATTAAAAGAAAAGGAGAGAAGGCACTCTGCAGTTAATCCTCCTCTCAAAAAACTCATTCCCTCCTCCCTTCCCTCCACAGACTGCTAACGAATTTAACAAGAGCATCTCTCTAAATTATCATGGCAGCCACGTGCACAACTTGTATCAGAAAAAGGGAGAGACAAAAGCACACATGAAGGAGTAGCGCGTTGGCTCGAAGATGAGCAACCCACTGCAATTAATGCCTCAAGTCCAACAACAGGCAATGGAAGAGCCAGAAAAAATAAGGAAACAACTTCTGTCTCCATTTAATAATCTGCTACAACTTTATGCAAGCCATAAATCTTGTGGATGCTGTCAAGCCGCTCAGTCAATTAAATGTAGACCAATCTTAATAAGCATCCAAAGGGGTGGAGGACAGAGAAGAGGCGTTCACTGGTATCTCCCTACCAGCTTCCTGATCCTAGTCTGCAGCTCAGTTCCTCTTCAGCTCTTAAAACATGAACAATACACGACAACAAGTGCCAAAAACCTGTGGGGTCCGGGCAAGGACTGTGGGCTCGGCCTTGTGCTCTCTGCCACATTTCCACTGCTAATTTTTCCTTATCGTGAACAGAACAGAGAGGAAATATGTTATCATTTTCACACGCACAATGCAAATCAAAGCCACACACCATGAGGATTTCTATGCACAAGCAGCAGAAAAAGCCTACAAGTTTGGATGCGTTCAACAAGTGGAGAAGAATTAAGCTCAAGAACAGCAATTCTTCTCGGATGTAAATATTTCCAAGTTATCTATTACATGTGCAATAACTCAATGCTCATAAAACCCACCAAACCACAGAGCAGATGAGGTTGGAAGAGACCTCTGCAGATCACCTAATCCAATCCCCCTGCTCAAACCAGGCTTGACCACAGCAGTTTGCTCAGGACTGCAACCAGCTGGAGATGGAATCCCTGCAGCCTCGCTGATGCTGTGGTCAACCACCCGTAAGATCCCTCAAAAGCAGAGCAGCACAAATCAGGTCACAGGCAGGTGAGTTCCAGACTGCTGTGTTTTATTTCATTTTTTAAATGAAGCGAATTAATTGCTTCTAAAAAGCACCTCTGGTAAATCAAGAGCCATAATTCGTAGGAGAGGGAGCGCAGCAGAGCAGGAGCCATGCTGATCTGACACTACGTCAAGAACCAACACAAATACTATTTCCAATGACAGAGCTGAAACCAGGACACACATTGAGCTGTTCAACAATTTTTCACTGCCAAACCGAAAAGGATGAAGCCATTCCACACTTCTCACATAGCAACATTCAAGAAACACTGTGATACACATTGAGTTGCACTCCAGGATCTCTGTGGGTCCCTTCCAGTTCAGGATATTCTATTACTCTGTGATTTAACAAAAGAGAATGGTGCTCCTTTACAACATCTGAAGCAAGTGCCAATAACTTTCTGTTGATTTAAACATATACCATTATATGAAGATATAACAGAAAGCCACCTTGCTATTATCAGATCCCAGAGAGAGGTGATGAAAATAATATTACTTCAAGCCAAACAACTGCTTTGGATTTGAGTCTTTTTCTGTTGTACCTTTTCATCCCAACTTTAATATGAACTACAATATATTACAAGTTTGTAGTCAGAAAAACACTGCCAAGCTACGGAAAAAGACTTCATTTGGGGAATGTGGAGTTCATTCATTCACACTCAGGTCCTCAAAATCGTATTTAATCATCACTTAATGATTACAGTTATGATAATTAAATCAACACTTAATGAGAACAGCTCAGCTGCATGGCAGACACTATGCATCTACTCAGAATATTTGTTGATAGCAGTGGAGCATCTTCAAAAAGAAGTGTTTTCTGAATGCTATGGGAACATAAAATCACAGAATCACAGAATGGCCTGGGTTGAAAAGGAGCACAGTGCTCATCCAGCTCCTTCCCCCTGCTGTGTGCAGGTCACCAACCAGCAGCCCAGGCTGCCCAGAGCCACATCCAGCCTGGCCTTGAATGCCTGCAGGGCTGGGGCATCCACAGCCTCCTTGGCAACCTGTGCCAGTGCCTCACCACACCTCCAAAGCGAGCCCTAAAGCTTCCTTAGGAAATGGTGACCATTTTGCTATTAATCAGAAGGTGTTATCCCATGGTTATTCCTAATCCATTTTTAAGCAATACATGGAGGAATACAAAAAAGCTGCCCATTACATACAAAGGGGCATGGAGCAGGTATTACACAGTGAAACCAATCACAGATATTCCTCTGCAGAGCACACCTAGAAGCTGACCTAACAGCCTTGCTAACAATAGTGGGAAAGACAGGTTCTCAAGTAGCTGCATTCCAGACCATTTGAGGCTCACCTTAACTTGCCCCTTGAAACAAACACTACCATAAAAGCTGTCTGGGTTCATATGTAACACTTTAAAAAGCCATACTTGACAGCTATGTTGTCATAACTGTGAAATACAGACCTCCTTTACTTCAGAGCTGTGAAATATTACTTCTCTTTCCTGCTAACTGGCAGCAGGAATTCTGCTATATCCACTATACAGCGTATATAATAAAGAACAGATGCCTGTGAATTATGATGCTGTAATTCCATCGAGGGCTTCCAGAGATGTCAAACCACAAAGACAAAGCCTGAGCAGCTCACGGAGATACCTGAACAGACCAGGATCATTGCAGCAATGACAGTTACCTTTCTGAACAGCATGTGAATCCTCTTCCTTTCTATCTTCGATTCTTCCCTTCTTCTGACTCAGCCCCTTATCCATCCCACCATCCTACTTTCCCTCCTACCTCTTCTTCCTTCAGGTGAAATCCCACTCCCACCTGCCTTAAGAATGCAATTAGTTTCCCTGAGGACCACCTGGCCCTGAGAAAAGGGCTGTTTTTCTAACACAGCTTTCACAGTGGGTGTGAATGTAGCAGTGAATTCGTCCAACATCTTTACAGCCTCCCAGAAAACGATGCCAGTGACATTCTTAGCAAGAGCAATATTTTAAAGAAATTAACAAAAAACTCAGAATCCATGGAACATTTTCACGTACCATTACCAAAGGCAGATGTTAATGCTATTGCCAGCTCTCTACTTTTGGCTGCACGGCTTATATACAGTCCTGCAAATGACGTGTCAAGATGCCTCGACTGACCTTCACCATACTTCAGCCCGTATTTTGGGTCTTCATCATTTTTAGGAGCATACTTCAGACGTGCAGCCGCCTCTTTGCTACCCAGAAGAGCTGAGACGTGCTGCACAGTGGAGCCCCAGGATGCACAGAGCACTGGGGAAACACAGGAGATGGGAGGACCAGCTCAAATCCCAGGAGTTACCCCAGGTGCATTTGTGCCCAAGGAACAAGACAACGCTGAGTGGTGTTTGTGGAACTGGGATAGGGCTAAAAGAAAACACCTGGAGGTTTCAGCTTAATGAAAGAAACAACCCACAACATATTACTTTATGGCTTTCTGAAGTTAAGAACTCCCTGAAACTGTGCTTATACGTCTCTCCAAAGCTCCCAACCAGGAGATTAAAGATAATATTTTTTAACAATAAATCTCAATGACAGACAAAGTGTATGGCCTAATGAGCAGAGGCCTGTAACAACCCCTCACTACTGCATTTTTACTCTAAGGAGACTGAAAATAAAAATCCCATCAACATATATATACAGCTTATGGTTATCATTAGGTTGATTAGTTGTTTTAATTTGAAAATTTTGGATTTGATTCCCAGTTCCAGCACATAAAATTTTCCATTGAAAGCAGATTTTGGCTTTCTTTGCATGAGATACAGTGGTTAGTGTTAACATGCAACCAAAAATTTTATGCAGGCAAATAAACTTGCTTCCTTTTCTTTGGGCTCACTTCCAAAGCACTGGTTTTAATATACGATGTACAAATGTCCCATAACACTGCTTTATATTAAAAGCATGAGCCAGAAACGTCCTATGAGAACACTTCTTAGCTCGGTATTTTTCATTTGTTATTATTATTCATGCCTACACACCTATGTGGAAACACAGAATCGGCTGCAACATATTTAATCTCTACAGAGGAAAATACTTTATAAGCAAAATTTAGCACGTCCCACTAAATGGTGTGAACACACGGAGGAAGGTTTATTCATTTGACTCCACTCATGAACGTCAGTTGCAGATGAAATGCCTTTACTTACAGTCCATCACAGCAAGTTACCCGTGTGATGCTGCACACCGTGAACTGTTCCAGTTAGCACACAGGATGGACGTTCCCAACCATACCAGTAAAGTTCAGAGAACACACAAATCACCAAAGGCAACTCTCTCATGGAATGGGAGGTGCTACGCTTTCTTTCCCGACAAGTCCATATTTTACAACTTCTTTAGAGACAGTTTCCCTTCTCCCTCTCCTTCCGGTGTACAAACACACCTCTCGTTTCCTTTCTTGGGTCAGCAGTACGTTCCAATCAGTGGTTTTACAGCCACAGTTTGTAGAAGCAATAGATGTTCTTGCTACCTGAGACTGACTACAGTATGAGCCCCAGGAGGCCACCAAAGGCTCTACATACACCAGAAGGTGGCTGGATTGCACTGAATCTACAATGATTTAACTATGATTGGCTGCCTCCAATTACTAAACGAACACTGCAGTCACTCCTCGAGGAGCACTGCAGAAATATGCTGGTAGTGTAATGAGTAACGGAAAGCTCTCCTTGCCAAAGATAAACAGTACTTAAAAAATAATAATACAAAATCCACTAAAAAAAAAGAGAGGAAGATTGTCTCAATTTATATTTCTTATTAAAAAAAAACAAATTTGCAGGTACAGTGTGCACCAGTCACAGCTATACCTTAAGAAAAAAAATCTGCAATGCGATGGAACATGCAGCAGCAAAGGCAAAGAAGCAGAGCCCTAGGCTACAGCAAGTGAGGGCTTGCTCAAATGCAACAGCCATAGACACAGGAACAAAAGAAGCTGCTTACCTTCAAAAGGCCTCAGGTACACAGGAGCTACCAGCAAAATACCCTCACCTCCACTGCCAACCCTTAAATGAGGGCTGGGAAGGGGTGGATCCTGGCTCCATCCCTTCCATCACTCAGGTTCACTGCACACACCTGAGCTCCCCTAGGCTGGCCCTGCTTTCTCACCAGGTGCTCAATCACTGCTTCAAGCTGTGACTTAGCATTGCCACCACACCTGTGCAAGGTATATTGAAAGACAATTGCAGATACAAAGATTAAAAAAAAAAAGTGGTTCTTTACCTGAACCACTGTAAGATGACGACGAAGGCGTTCTCCTGGAGAAGCTTTTCACAGCCAGACTCTGCCCCCGCTGCTTCCGCCTCCAGGCTGTTCGGCACTTGGAGTCTATGCTCTGCTTGATTCGATACCAGTCAGATTCTGAGATCCCAAATTTATAAAAGAGATGACCTGTAATTACAGAGAAACACAAAGGGATGGCACCCAGCTCAAATCCCTGTTTTCAGGAACACACAGCGCTGATGGATGCTGCCACGCACACACCGGGCAAACAAGGAGCTGAACGACTCAGAACAGCCTAAAGAAAAACAGTGAGAGTTAGAAACACACCAAAGCTGTACAGTGGGATGATTTCAGCAGCAGCTTCAACAATATTCACAAAATTAAGTGTGCACAGTTGTGTATTTAGAAGCATGAAGTTTCCAAATGTATGCTTCCACCCATGGAAACTGCATCGAAGACAAGCAATATGGCAACAGAAGGATCCAGCTCTCCTAAGCCCAAACTGGAGAAAGCTTTATTTATTGCTGATAGTGCTCACAACGTGTGCATGATAAGCATGGGGTCGCATAAAGCTGCATGTAAAACAACCTCTTAAAACTCAGCGCGGGATTCAATAGAATCCAATAAAAACACAGCACAGAATTCAAATCTGAAAGCGTTACTACCATTATGGAGTCATTTAAAGAGCCACATTCTGCACTTCCCAGCATCTGGTGCTAAGTTGCCAAACTCTTATAAAAACACCATGTTGACGACTTGTGAGTTGGACCTTTTGAGTATTTTGAAACAAAGCTGATACAGATGGAGTCCCACTGCCAACACAAACCACATTCGTTAGCATCTGCAAACTCTGCCATCGAAGTGGAAGCCTAATTGTACAAGAAGCAGTGCAAAAATACTCGTCAGGCTCCAAAAAATACTCATTTCAACATCTGGACAAATAGATTAAAAATTGAGAAGGAAACCTGTCGTACATGGTAGCTTTTTCAAGGCACTTCTCACACCGTTTTGCTGTAACCTTACAGCGGTTTACATCTTGCTAAAGCACTCTGAACTGGGGGTGTCCGACTGGATGCTAAGGGAAATTTATAACCCAGAACTGCAGAAAAAAGCACTTCAAAAAGCGAAGAAGTGAAGCCAACATTTCCAAACTGTGATGTAAACCAGAACCATCCGAGCATTCACCAATCATTGAAATTTCAGTACTTCTAAACTTCTCAGATTTAGATCTGCAATAGTTAAAAGCCAACCCAAAGCAGCAGTATTTGGTTTCGGTCAACGTGGCTGTGCTTGAAGGAGCTCTTAAAATTCTTGTATTCTTTTTGTATTAATTGCTTGCCATGCCCAGCACAATAAAACCATCTTTTCAACCTACTGTGTTTACAAATTTACAGCCAAGAGGATCCTGAGGTACATAAGTGGTTACACTCAAGCTGCTGTACAGCCCTTTGAACAGTGCATGTCTATTCCTGCAAGAGAAATGAAGGTGACAGCAGCAAAATGCCAGGCTTGCGCAGACTAAGAGCTCTGTGCTTTCCTTTGCATTATAACAGAGCCCTCAGAATCTGCAATTCAAGGGTGCTGATCTAACGTGCTCAAGGGGAACGTCGTATCCCTTCAGACATCATCATTTTCCTTTTGTTTTCTGATTACTTTAGTACAGATTTGTTCAAAAAGCCACTCGAACACACAGGAGGAAAGCACTGGCATCAAGAATTTGGTTCCAAAGCGCTCTAAAAGGCTGAGGACTGATGACCAGCGAGTGACAGGGCCATGTTATTCAAAATTGCTTTACAGCCCCTCTCTGTGTCTCCAAAACAAGGGTGGGAGTAGGGAAGGAGGAAAACCAATCGAAATTATCATCTGCTGCTGTGCAACAGTTTCCTTTCCATGGGTGTCAGCAAAAGGAAAGCACATACTGTACTGTAAATAGTGAGACCACACTTTGGAGTGCAATCTATTACCAATATGCGCTATACGGAGAAATGGGTTTATAAATCTTTGCAGCAATGTCCAATAAAAATAGTTGTGTTTTAACTCTTGGTATGACCTCAGCTGTCAGTGCACACAGAGTAGTTGTGTTGTCCTGCATAACACGGCCGTGTGCTGTGATTATTTTGAACAAATGTCTGTATTTTGTTCATCAAGACATTTTAATGACTATCATCTCGTGCGCTGCTGTTAGAGAAATGACTGCAGGTCTGAGAAAATTCACAGTACAGCAGTCCAGCCAGACATTTTAACTCTTATGGTGTCAGTATGGCACATTCCAGGACGCCTCTTTGTTTCAACAGAAATCAAAAGCAAAATCATTTATGACAAGAGCCTCAGTGAGCTGTTTGCATTAGGAGAGCTTAAGAAAGATGATGGGCAGAGGTGAGACATAAAGCATTCCAGAAGCTGCTCTGTGGACAGAAGACAAGAAACATTTGGCTTACTGACTGCAAAAGTTAATTAAAGTGACAAGAAATAGTCACAAAAAATTGCATAGAGGGACCACTGCCTTCATGGAGAGAACACGACAACAAAGGAAAGCAAGGAAGACAGAAGACAAGCTGAGGGTATAGTGAGAAAAGCAGATTTGGGACTGGAGAGACTGTCACAGCTGGGTGTATTTCTCTTCCCTTACCCACAGAATTCCAACCTAGCCACCCAAAGGCATAAAACTGGTGCAGGTGACACAGCCATTGCATGCACACAACTGTGTGCTCAGCCACAGTGACTGCACCTGCAAATTGGGCATAGCAAATCAGCCCTTAAGCACCAATATAGCTGACATCAAGGTTACATGAATTACAGATGTACAAATCCATCTCCTTGGTACTCCAGCTCTAAGTGTTACCCTAATAACAGGTCTTTAGCAACTGCCCCAGAGCTGCCTGCTGATGGCTGAACAAGGACTAAATGCAAGTGACAGCGGGGTGTTTCTGAAGTGCACATGGACATATAAATCTGATTTACCCCTAGCAGAGAGATACGACTCGAGAACATGTGCAAGCAATACCAGAGAAAGTAAGCGTGCTGCCTCGCTGCTCTCTTCCATAAGGGATCACATGCAGCAGAGCTCTCAGCCCAGCAGCTCGCACTGCATATGTCAAATGCCAGAAAAGAAGTATGAAAGGCAGGAATAAAGTGAGATGCTGCACGTGAGACCTTTAACTTGGGGAAGCCCTTATTGGGAAGGACAGCAGTGCTTTGGTGAGAGGAGATGTGACCTCTCAGAACGCTTGCTAGTCAAAAGCAGCACGAAGTGCCGTAATTTGCAAGCAGCACGGCTTCCCTGAGCCACATCACAGCCCTGATCGAAACATTTAGCCACATCCAGCAATGTAATTCAGCACTTTGGCAAAAAGACAACGGCATTTTGGAAGAGAGATGCACTCAGAGCAGCGAAGGCAAGGACTGAGATCGCCTGAGAGGGGCTTTGAAGGTCTTTTCTCCAGGACAAGGGATGGCTGCTGGTAACGTTCAGAACAAAAGGATGTGCTTGTTTTGAAATGCTAAGAGTGCAGAGCTTGCTTTCTTGGAGAACCTCACCTCCCAAATCAAGCTTTATAAAACTTCATCCAGCAAAAGGAGGACAGCATGCACACACTGGCAAAATTCAGCAAGTCAGCATGAAAAGCAGCAGGTGCATCACTACAGCTACTGCTGCACTTATGAGGACACATTTACAGAGGTTCATACAGAACTAAAAGACACCATGCCACAAAGTCCCAGGACGCTTTTTGTGCGCCACAGAATAAATCTTTTTGTTGCTCATCTAAGGAAAAAAAAACAACAATGGGAAAGATGGTAAAGATGTGGTACAAACAGAAAAGTTGTCAGCAGCGATGTCTGAAATGACCACACATTCCCACACTTTTGGGCAGTGAATGTACAAAATGTTCGGGGGTTTGAGAATCTTTCACAGGGGGGAAAAGCAGAAATAATGAAGGAAAAAAAGAATGAAAACAATGCTCCTGAGAAAGTAATCCTCTCTTTCTTAAAGGTCAGAAGTCAGGCAGCAGACAAAGCAACCCGCAGAAAACACTAAATTGTAACAAAATTTAATTAAGAACAAATTGAGGAGGAAGAGAAGACGTTTGTAATATCAAAACCAGACACGAAATATTCCACTGACAAAATCCGCCTCCGAAAAAACAAACTTCATGTCAACAGCTCACATTTAGATCCTGAACGTTGCGCTGCTTCCCGTTCTCCACAAACACCAGATTTGCTTGCAGAATTGAAAGGCAAATCAATTGCATCCACGGAGCTGGCAGGACTCCTTTTGCTGCCCTTTATCCTGGGATGGCACAGATTTGTCCTCTCCTATTGTTGCATTTTGAAAGGCTGCAGGGAAAGCATTACCCCGGAGCACACAGAGCTGCTCCCATCCACGTGCGATCCAAGCAGGCAGACCTGGTGAACTGTTCTTTCCACTTTCAATTTCAACACGATTTTTCAAGCCTGCCCTTTTAAAGAGGGTTCAAATTCGGTCTAATTTCAGATTCAAGTGATTGAATCGACCCACAGAATCTTTCTTAAGAAAACAAGGGCTGCTGATTTTGCCTGCAAACAGTCACGCAAGAACCTTAAAACTCAAATATTAAAATCAGACTTCAGTGTTGTTGAAATCTCAACTCTTAAAAGCAAGTTCCACTGTCAGCTCTCTAAGAGAACAAACGTCCTGCTTCCCTCAGTGCAGAAGACACGGTTTAAGAGGATTTGTGCAAATAAGGTCCCATGACAAATAGATTATTTGACTGCACTCTTCGGTTAAGTTATAATAATACATAAGAGCTGAAATTACACATTAATCAAATTCCTTTCTGCGTGGACAACAGGAACCCTACCTACAGATCTCATTGAGGACATCATCCTCGATGACCTTCCGACAAAGTGCAAAGCTGCTGATTTCAGAGCTGTATTACAGCAAATAGCCATACAGCATTCACCCACAGCCGGGAAATTAAGTCTGACGTGACAAGAGAATAAGGGAATTCCTAAACATCATTAAGGACATCAACGTAAAGAGAGGAATGTTCGAGGTAAACATTCCAGATGTGAAAAACCAGAGTGAGTCATTGCTTTGAAATAGAAGCGTGTGATTATACAGTGTAGGGAATGAGGACTAACATCGGGGACACCAAAAATACACTCCTTCCAGGTGTGCACTGCTCAGC